TCCGCCCCAGAATGATCTGGTAAAATTGGACCACCAAGACCCTGAAGTAGTTGAGGTTCCTCAAGAATTATGAATCAGTGACTGATCAAGCATGGAGAAAGACTAAGACAGCAGTTGTGGCTGAGAAATAATAACTATCCTAAGCATGCTTACTTGGGAGTAAGTGACACTGAATGCATGGAGAGGATCTCTAAGCAGACATTGTTTGTGTAAAAAGTGTTTTGATGGGATCTTCTTGCATGGACGGGAGTTGGACTGGATGGCCCTTGAAGTCTCTTCCAAATCTAGGTTTCCTGGTGTTTCAGGGTATTTTAGTAATGACGGAAGGGAAAAGATCTTGCCTACAAGTTGGCAAAATTAATAACAGTGTTGATCCCCCACCCATTTTAAATACAGTTTCAGGGTCTCTGAAGAGCCCACGTTCTTGCCTTTCCATGCACTCCATTTTCCACTGAGCTCTGGCATAAGAATCTTACATGTTCAGTTTGAGGTCCTAATTTGGCAATGGGAATGTCCCGATTCCAGTTGTAAGGTGTGCCTGCACTAGATAAAATGAATGGGGTGGCCACATCTTTGACCCTCTCCCTCTGTCTGTCTCCCACACATCCCAATGGGAGCATAGGATGCCTTTTTTGCTGATCTCACCAGCCTTCCCCACATGTGGGGAGAGTTGTGTTTATTCCATCAAGAACATGCACTCCAAAAGAGCTGATAATGGCAGAGATCCTACGGCAGCATTGCATAAATTCCCACATTCTATAAACAGAAATAGTAAAAGAATTCCCATACCTGGGATCAAACATTGATAGAAATGGGGACTGCAGTCAGGAAATCGGAAGAAGACTTTGGGCCTTTACAGACTGCCAGAAATAATCCAACTTGAGACCACTTTAACTGTCTTGACTCAATGCTAGGGAATCATGGGAATTGTAGTTTTTTTTTCTGAGACATTGAGTCTTCTCTGTGCCACAATAAACTACAGTTCCCATGATTCCCTAGCACTGAGCCAGGATAGTTAAAGTGGCCTCAAGCTGCATTATTTCTGGCAGTCTGTACAGGCCCTAAGAATGCAGAGGGTGGGCTATGAAAGAACTAGAAAAGATCCTAAATTGCAAAGACATACAACTCAGCACAAAAGTTAGAATCATACAATCCGTCGTATTCCCTATTACAATGGATGGATGTGAGAGCTGGACAGTCAAGAAAGAAGATAG